CTTTGGAATTCCTGGCATGGACCCGCCAAGTAGTACTCGATAAGGAATCATCTAAAGTTTTATTAATTATTAAATCACCATTAAATCGTAATTAAATACGGGAAGCAGTAGTAACATAAAAAAGTAGCGAAAACGTTATAGGAAATATTGAAAATATAATTAAAATGATGGGCCAGTGCTAGATCATATAATAGGAAAACATGTAGTCACTTATGTACTTGGCCTCAATAATATGATATCAATACTTTTTGTTAGAGGAATTCACAGCAATCCTGTACTTGGCGTAGTTTTTTACACGTAAGTGTTTTTTGGGGGATCAGTCTCTACGGTTCCTCTTCGCGTGCCTATGTTGGCTATCTCAGCGATGCGGAAGCGGCGGGATTCGGAACAATAGGTCGGATGGGTCAGACGATCACGCGAGACACAAAATCATTCGGATACTTCGAGCTCAAATAAATGGTTCGGTTTATTAAAGAAAATCGGCGGCGCGAAGCGCGACGACTTTGTACAATACCGAATCAATGAGTGACAACAACAAAAAATTTAGTACTTTGAAGAAATCAAAAGAAGACAAAACAAAAGTTCACTCAAGATATTAACGGGTACTTCGCGTACCGTACGAATTCAATTCACAAATCGTAACACGGCTAATCCGCGTTTACCACACTACGGTGACCGACCGTCAAGGACCTGTACGCGTTCTACGCGTTACAAAATCAAAAGGTAGAAATGCCTGACGGGCGGACGACACGAAACAATTCGGATACGTAAAAACAAATTCCAGTTCAATAGTAAGATCTAACGAAAATTCTAACAGTGAACCCTGCCGGTCGACGGACCTTCGTGCCTTGGTCTAATTCGAGGGTGAGGGATCTTCCCTCCGCGTGTCCGTTACACGCGCGGTCAAACTTACGAAAACAAACAAAATTCGGTACCAAGATTTGCACGAAGTTACGTCGCTCACAAAAGTTAGATATCCTCGCTTACCGTGTTGTTCCCTGGTCGCGTAATCCCAGAAAACTCAATCGACAGCCCAATGGCACTTTGTGCACTCGCGTACTCACAAATTCCAATCGAACAAAACGTCTAACGTCTACGCGTGTCCAAGCAGAAATCTCTTCTTCACGCGCTTTGTCTTCGCGTGAAGGACAGCATCCCCTCCCTTTAGGCTAATGGGCGGCGATTCGCCCTGCGGACGAATCCTTCAACCCAGTGTCTTCGCCACGCGCCAGTTTCGAATCTGTCATTGGGACAATTAATAATTTTCATCATCTCTTATGGACAATTTATACAGCTCGGTCCTACGAAGAGTAACATTCGTTCTTGCGCGAGGGTGCACCAGGCGTCCCTGGATTCCCAACTCGCGGAAATATAATTATGCGCAAACTA